CTATGAGTTGGTACTGACTCCATGGCATCTAACAACAATAAAGAATTTAGTGGTAGAATTCTCCTATGCTAGAGACCTAGTCAGTGCAGCTCATGCCTACCTCATGCTCCCACCATGATCAGTGGAGGCTTGCTTGTTGCTACATTGAACAGATTCCAGTGGAGCGTTCACATTAAGACTGACTGTGAAAAAAAGGGTCAGATAATTTGCTTCCAAAACAGCCAGTTATAAAATACATGCAGATCACAACTATCACATCCCACTGTGTGTGGGTTTTGCCATGAGTTGGGGCCAATGTGACAGCTGCTAGCAATATAACAACAAATAAAGAATTGCTTTACGAACATGCATTTCTTATCATTCTCTCATAAAACAGCAAAGAAATACAAAGAGCCATGATTTGAAATAATGGCTGAAAACATAACCAACTAGGTCACTGAATTTGTTTTTTCACAGTGATTTGGGAAAAGCAATCAGATTTGAATTTATTTTTTCATAGTGATTAGATTTGGGAAAAGCAATAAGAGCTTTGCAATACGGAGGTGAAATTCCACTTCTACTACTATGTAGCTGTGTGAACTTGGACAAGTCACTCAATTCCTCCATTTTTCTGAGATGCTTATATTCTCATAATGCAAACTAATACTTATGAGCCACTACACTACACCAGATGCTGTTTTAAGTATTCTCTATGTATGAATGGATTTAATCCTCACAGCAACACAGAAAGGTAGCTAATACTTTTATACCCATTTTATAGCTGAGGAAACTGAGGCACAGAGAGAATCTCCTATGCAAAGTCACACAGCTAGAAAGTGAAGGAGCAGGATGCACTAGAATAGGGATTTTGATGACAAAGATTAATTTTTTTGAGTGTAAAAACTTCTGGGGGAGTGAATGCTTGATATTCACAGAAAGGAAATGGGTAAATGTTAGTCCCCTTCCACATCTTTGGGTGCGATCTCCTCTTCCTACCTCGTACAGTTGCAAGTTCCCCATCCATATGAGCCATACATTGCATGGCGGTAGCTCCAACGCATATTGGCATGCTAACCGGCTGTCCTAAAACAGACGTCGACAGATCTATTTCTGCAACATTCCGGAGCATCCGTGGATATAGCTTCCATCTGGTATTAAAAAAAAAAAAAAGTCAAAATTTCAAAGTAAAGCAGAAGCTTTAACATTCTGTATTTGTTAACAAAGAAAAATATATTTATGTAGCTTTCTATCAAGTAAACTAATACTTCAAGGGAAAGAAGCAATTTTTAGTATCCTTGAGGGTAGAAAATTGGCAATAAGATAATAATAAATTTCTCAAGATATTTTTCTATTAAGATATAATTTACGTTAGTAGAATTCACCCATGGTCTTTGAGTTTTGACATACAGTCATGCAACTACCACCACAATCTAGATCAAGTTCAATCACCCCGAAAAACATTCCCATTTCCCTTCGTAATGAAACTCTACCTTCACCCTAATCTCCTGACAACACCAATCTTTTTATTCCTGGAGTTGGATTTGCTAGAGTATCATATAAATGGAATCATACATTATATAATCCTTTGAGCCTAATTCTTTTTACTGAGCACAATGCTTTGAAATCCGTCCCTCCACTGTTACATCCATCAGGAGTTCATTCCTTTGGGTTGATGGGTAGCATTCCACTGTATGAAGGTACCAGTTTGTTTGACATCTTCTCAGTTTAAGCTCTTTAAAATAAAGCCCCTATAAACATTCACTTACAGGTTTTTGTATGACTACAGTGTTCCTTTCATTTCCCTCTAGCCATTTTAAAGATGGTGTTCAAAGGCACAGAGGTTAGATTACAGTGTAAGAAGATGTGATGTGTCTACTTTTTTTTGGTTTTGTTTTATTTTACATTTTTAAAATAATAGACAATAGCTTCAGTCAATCATTTTTAAAATTACATTTTGGTTTCTTCAAAACCCTTGAACTGAATACTTACCCACTGAAGCATGATGAGGAGGAAAGTTTAGTTCAACTGAGCATTTTCCTTATAAACATTATTTGACAGAGTGGAATTTTTGGTTTAACGAAGTTTTGACCCCTGAACATCATATTAAGTGAGTTTTTTTTTATTCTTCTGTATTGAAGTAAAAATTACCAATAAACCAACAACCAAAATGTCAGTAGTAAAATTTACAGAACTAGTTATTTTTTGTTGTTCTCAATAAAATTTATCTTTCCTATTTGTTTGGGTTTACTTTTCTCCTCCTTAGTGGCTGATTAAATGGAAGAAAGCATTATTTCTTGTAATGAGTGCTAGTATAAAAAGTTGTGCTTATACACACATGGGGGAGTCCTGGTGTGGCACTGTCGGTTAATGCACTCACAGATAACTGCAAAGTCGTTTGAACTGCAAGGTCGGTGGTTTAAGCTCACCAACCGCTCCTCGGCAACCCTATGCAGGGTCACTATGGGTCAGAACCAACTCGATGGCACTTAACAACAACATACACATATATGGGGTCCTGGTGTGGTGCTGCAGGATAAGCACTGAACTGCTAACTGCAAAGTTAGTGGCTCAAAACCACCAGTCGCTCCTTAGAAATCCTTTGCAGGGTCATCATGACAACATCAACACACACATACAAACCTAACCAGCATCCATTCCCGTTAGCTGTATTTAACTCGATTCCCAGAAGGTTTTTAGTAAATTTAGTGAAATGTGATTTAGTAGTGGAATGACCAAAATAAATCGAACTCCTAAAGCCCTTAATTGAAGCGTATTTCCTGTACTCGAAGAAAAAAATTTGCCTAACCTGGAGTAACTAAAGTTCTCTAATCTAACTCTTCCTTAATAATAAATTTAAAACATACAGCCCCTGAAAAGTATCATAAAGAAATTTTACTGTGTGGTTTCTTTGCAGTTCCTTTGAACATCATAACTGTCATCATTTGACGTCACACCATATACTCTGTTGCTGGACATCTCTTCTTGACTGACCCTCACAGCATGATTCTTTGATCTCTGTGTTGAAGGCGGAGAGGCAGAAGTCTTGAAGATAGTGTTTATTATCAATCATCTCTAAGCTCTGGTAGCGTAGTGGTTACGAATCGGGCTTCAAACGGCAAGGTCAGAAGTTCAAAACCCTGCTTCGCGGGTGAAAGATGAGGCTTTCTGCTCCTGTAAAGATTTACAGCCTCGGAAACCCTGTTCAGGATCGCTATGGGTCGGAACCGACTCGATGGCACTTAACAACAACAACTGTGTTGTTGTTGTTGTTGTTGTTGTTATGTGCCGTGAAGTCGGTTCCGACTCATAGCGACCCTGTACAGGGTTTCCGAGGCTGTAAATCTTTACGAAAGAAGAAAGCCTCATCTTTCTCCCGCGGTACCGCTGGTAGTTTCGAACTGCTGACCCTGAGGTTCGCAGCCCGATTCGTAACAATTACGCTACTAGAGCTCCTTAAGTGTGTTATTAGAATGAAAAAAAAAAACGATTTTAATAGCATCCAGTTTTGTAAGCTGTTTTGTAGAGCTGAAAAAACAATGGGAATACTTATGACAAGGACACGCAAATTTTCAGGGCATCTGGTGTGTGTTTGGGTCTACGAGACAGAATGGACATTTTTAGTGTAGTGCTGTCGTCTAATGCACTGGACTGCAAAGTTAGGTTGAACCACAAGGTCGGAGGTTCAAGCTCACCAGCTGCTCCTTGGAATTCCTATACAGGGTCGCTATGCGTCGGAACCGACCCCATGGCATTTAACAACAACTTAAATTGAAACCCCAGTTACGTGACAAAGCTCAATCCTTCTTTCTCAAGGCAGCAGTTTTACGCTTGTCCACTTGGTGGCACCATCACTTTAGTAATGTGTTCTTGCTTCCCGTATGCAACATTATTTTCCTTTCTTAGGATGATTTTAGATATTTGTCCACCAATCCGCAAACGCAATTCTCAGGCAACATTAGATAAAAATCAATGGAGTGGGAAGTGCATGTTCTCTAATAGTCCTTCACCCTTTGATATTTTCCAAAGGGCAAATACAACTAACCTTGTCAGATAGCTCCAATAGCTTTTCAAGTCCCATCGGATGTCCCAACTTAAGTGACTTTCCCACAACCACACATAAAATATAACCTTGCACAATTCCCTACGGGACCTCCACTTGGGTAAAGAATATGGAGAGTGATGAACCAATTGAATAATAAACATTTTTCAAACATGGAAATTAGATGCCTTTGTAAAGGAAGTGGGGTATAAATGGGTATATTTTAACAAGGCCTTTGGCCCACAAGTCACCTCCAAGAAGGTCCTCATATCAGATATCAACAAATCAGATACAAAGCAAAACATTCCCAGAGAGGAGGCTACTCTATTAAAGCCACATCAAAACACAGCTTTAAACTGTGCCTTACTAGAACATGCCAACCAAACACAGTAAATTTATGTCTTATCAGTTTTTAACACAAATTGTATTCTGATTTCTCCACATGAATCTTTAACTCTGAATTTTTGAAACATATAATGGTTGTTATAAGGCTATTTTCAACATTCGTTTTTGTCTTTTGAGAGATTAAAAATGTTTAGCTAGATCTGTATCAACCTCTTCTTGGCTGTCCAGTACCAGTGAATCTATTCC